GAATAGAACTTTTGACATTAGTTAGCACTTCAAATAATACCTTTAACATTTCAGTTCAACAACCATTAATAGCTGTCCTTATATTGGTTAAAATGTATCAAAGTCCTTACAGTTTTAGACCTAATGAGCTGTATCTCCTTAATCTTTACAAAGATCATGAGGAAACAGTTTCAATATAGTTAAGTACTTTGTACAATGAGAGTCTGCAAATGTGTGGCAGAGGGAGTCTATATGCCATCTGAACTTTGGGGGGGTGCGTGGGGGCATGGATTGTGGGGGGAGGGAGGGAATGAGTATGGGGAGAACCTCCCTGCAAGGGAGCTCTCAATCCAGAAGACTGTGTCCTCAGCAATTGCCTTTGCCCACATAGGGGAGGTGGGATGTGAGGCAGGGGCACCGAGTGGCTTGGGATGGTCCAAGGACACATGTCACCAGATCTCCAGGGCTCCACAGGCAGCCTCAGAACGTGTGTTCATTTGCTTTGTTACAAAAGGGGTAACCAAGGTGGTAATGCTGGGGGTCACAGCTGAATTCTAGGAGGGCAGAGATGTCATAATCGGGATGAAAACAAATGTCTCTTCCCCAGCACACAGTGCCAGGTGCTTGCATGTGCATAACAAATATCTTCAAAGAGAGGTTTTTGTCAGGCTCCCTGCAGTATTCCCTGACCTGTCAAGTTCAAAACCTGAGTCCCTGTTCTCAGCTGAGTTTACTTTTTTAATCTGGTGAGAATTTATCACTTTTAAAAAAGTCTTCATGGGAGGGCGCCTGGGTGGCTCAGTTGGTTAGGCGACTGCCTTTGGCTCGGGTCATGATCCTGGAGTCCCAGGATCGAGTCCCGCATCGGGCTCCCTGCTCGGCAGGGAGTCTGCTTCTCCCTCTGACCCTCCTCCCTCTCATGCTCTCTCTATCTCATTCTCTCTGTCTCAAATAAATAAATAAAATCTTTAAAAAAAAAAAAAGTCTTCATGGGAATGATAAATCTTTTAAAACCTTTAGAAAGTCAGGAACTTTAAAGCTCTTTTCTTCCTAAGATGATTTTGCTTCAGGTTTTTATGAGCTTGCTCCTGCCATGTCTCAATTTCCAGGCACCTTCTGGAACAGTACTTCCCGACCTATTCATGAGAATATTTGTATGGCATTCTGGGGTATGCTGAAGATGATGTGAGAGAATTGTCTATAAAATGGTGAAAACAGTCACTATCTTTTCTGCTATCCTAGAACAAAAAAATATCAAAAAACTGTAGTAAATAATACAGGTTTATAAAATTCCAGACACTTTTTTCATTTTTACTGAGAAATCTGAGCTCGCTTCAGCTTTTTAATACAAGGTTTAATGTTTGCAATGACCACATACAATTTCTCATCAGGATTTTTTAATGCTATCTTTAAATTGTCTATTGTCTTTGTCAACCAAGACATTTTATGCCACAAACAGTTTCAGGAAAAATTAAAACAATTTTTGCAATTATTTTCCAGTTTACAACAGCTGAAATTACATTTAAGGCTCTAACAGCTCTTTTTGTTCATGGGCTCCATGTTGACATTTCTTGTAATGTGAAGAGATTAAAATGTAGTTGAACCTCTTGATAAGTATTTAGAAATAATGGAGTTCTAATTTTCAGAATGTGCATGGATTGTTAGAGCTGTCACTCTGTGGATAGCTTGGCTGCTAATAAAAGGGCCCAGCAGCTGTAAGTTGAGAGGAGTTTGAACATCTATGAAGGCAGGGCTTCAGGGCACTGCCTGGAGACTTGCACACTGGGCACTTCCACCTGAGCCCCCACCTCACCCTCATGTGGCTGCACCGGGCACTACAGATAGAAGTGCTCCTTATTGGGGCACTTGGGTGGCTCAATCAGTTAAGCTTCTGCCTTCAGCTCAGGTCATGATCCCAGGGTCCTGGAATCGAGCCCTGCATCGGGCCCCCTGCTCAGCCAGGGGCCTGCTTCTCCCTCTCCCTCTGCTCCTCTCCCCCAGCTCACAAAAAAATTTTAAAAAACTTAAAGGCTGTTTTGTGGATCAAATGCAGTAACATGTGAAAGCATTCTGAAAACAATACAGCACTATACATGTATTTTCAGTTCCAGAAGTCCTAATCAAAAATGTCTGCTTTTAAAGATAGCAAAATTTCAAGAAAAAAAAAATACAGTCCAACAGATGCATTTTGCCAACTCTTCAATAATAATGACTTTTTCTTGGTAAGATATTCAGGTAGAAAGGGACGCCTGGGTGGCTCAGTCGTAAAGCTTCTGCCTTCAGCTCAGGTCATGATCCCAGGGTCCTGGGATCGAGCCCCACATCGGGCCCCCTGCTTGGCGGGAAGCCTGCTTCTCTCTCTCTCTCTCCCTCTACTGCTCCCCCTGCTTGTGCTCTCTGACAAAATCTAAAAAAAAAAATCTCTTTGTTTACCCAGAAAATGACCATTCCCAGTTTTGTTGGCTCTTCATTTCAACAGCAGTGCCATGCTTTACTGCTGACCTCCTGAAGTACATTGCCAAGTAGCACCGCACCTCCCCATCTGCATTCAGCCTCCCAGGGCACACAGCAGCACATGACCAGCATCACTTACCTTGCCAGTGGCCGGGAGGTACGTGCTACTTCAGACCCTGCTCCTCTCCAGTGTGCTCCAAGGATCCTGGAAGAGGCAGATGGCGGTTGCAACTGGCCTGTTGGCTTCAGCTACACAAGACCCCATCTGGCTGCCCCAGAGCTGAAGGGATCAGTAACTCCTGTTGCAGCATATATATATATACATATATTTTTTTTTTGTGGAAAGCTCTGATTTAGAGGGATAAATTATTGTTCTTTCTGAATTTGTAGGAAATGGAGCTTCCTTTAATGTTTCTAGACTCTAGTCTACCATCACACTAAGTGTTCTTGCAAACCACCCCTTAGGGAAGACGAGAGGCAGCAAAGTGTAATTTTCTCAGAGGGTAGACTCTAGTGCCTGATGGACAGGTTTCCAAATCTCAGCCCATTGCTAGCTCCGTATGTTGTGTTCCTTTCCTCATCTGTATGAAGTAGGACTGACGACGATAATGCTCTTTTCCTAGGGTTGAAGGATTGACTTAGTTAATGCACATTAATTACTTGCAATAGTGCCTGGTGTAGTGTCTGACAGTATCCATTAATGATGATGAATTGTCAAGAGCACCGAGGTGATGTTATAGGTGTTACTAAGAAGCTCAGTAGTACTCCAGTAGACTGGTAGTGTCTTCTTAAAATTTCAGGGGAATAAACAATGGTTATGAAATCTGAAGGGATTTTTTTTTTTTTTAAGATTTTATTTATTTAACAGAAACAAAGCGAGAGAGGGAACACAAGCAGGGGGAGTGGGAGAGGGAGAAGCAGACTTCCCGCGGAGCAGGGAGCCCAATGCGGGGCCCGATCCCAGGACCCTGGGATCATGACCTGAGCTGAAGGCAGGCGCTTAAGGACTGAGCCACCCAGGCGCCCCAATCTGAAGGGATTTTAGCTTTAACCAATTACTAGACCATAGTGTTTGCTTTGGGTTTCTATTTCCCATTTACGTTATATGCTCTATAACCAGAATGGATATTATCCTTCCATTTTAATGACTGGTAACAAGATGACAAGCAAGAATTAAGCTTAGGGCTTATGCATGGAATAGCTACCTACCTCTAGGAAGATTGAATCCTATATTTAGTGTCATTGAGTTGCTAGAGTAACTTGGAGCTAATACAAAAACTCATTGACATAAATTATTCTCCTTGGTATCCAGGGTCATCCTAATTTTTCACATTCTTTGAACCTTGGGCTTGGGCTAACCATAATAAGAGACCACTTAAAATTAGAGTCTTAACTAGAGACATAAGTTGGCTTCACAATTGACATGGAAAGTCTACAGAGGGAGCAGACTGTCTTTCGCCTACTACAGGTTTTGTCACAGAAAAGTGGATTAATATAGTAACACTTCATTGTAAATGGACATTAATAAATGCTAAATTACCACCAAGTTCCTATGGAAGTGCACACAGCTACTTTTACATTTAAAGAGTTTATGATTAATGTTATTATAATGAATACTGAAGAAATTAATAACCGTTTGTCACTTTAAAAAGTGCCAATTAATTTTATGCTATTTTTCTATTCTCATTTGTCATAAGAGTGAGAACCTAGAATTTTAATGTCTATTATGTGGTGTGAATTAAAGAAGTGGCCATGCCACACTGACCTTTTCAGTATTCTAATATTTGCTTCACTGACCTCTTAGACCTCTTCCTGGCAACGGTTAGGTTTTTGAGAGGAGGGAGAGCTGAGCCTACTGGGTGAGTGAGCAGAATGAGGAAATATTTTAAGATACACTTTCATAATTCACTGACTGTATTGGAAATTCAAATTTTCAGACTATTCATTATCTTGACAAACATTGTAATGTGTGCAGAATATGGCACCACATAAATCCGTTCTGGTGACAAAGAGTGTAATGAGAATGGGAAATAGTAGAAACCCAAAGCAATCACTTTACAGTCTGGAAACTGGATAAAATGAAGGTCTCACCAGGTTTCACGGGAGTTCTTTTTTGGCACTCTTAACAATTGCTTTCCACAGAAAACACAGCATGACACCATATCCAAGCACTCATAATGGGAATTTGGACACATTCATTTGGAAAGTTGCCTCCATCCAAGTAGAACATCAATTTAACAAATTCATGTCCTTTACTCTGTGGGGCAATGATTTGACATCATTGATTTATACTGAATAATTCCCTTCTATTTTGAAGGGACATAAATATTTTCACATATTTGTGTATTCCTTATTCAACTATTCAATAAGTATTTAGAAGTAATGTGTGCACATAGCATTGTGCTAGCTAGTATGAGGCTTGCAAAGTAAAGAGATTAAATATGGATGAATAGGCACTAAAAGGACAAATAACTGGGGCTAGATTCCTTCAGAATGAGCAATGGGCTGTATTTTTCTGGAGCCTATGAGAAGGATTACTCTGGTCATGAGGGGCCTGAGAGTTGTGTGCCAATGAAAGGGTTTTGGTCCCTGGAAATGAGGATGGCCGATCCACATGAGCAGGGTATTTAAAAGGTATGATAAGGGATGAAGATGGGTGTGTATTTTTAATTTTATAAACAACTGGACATATCAGTATAAGGTTTTATGTTCACACAAAATCTTAGCCAGTCGCGATTAGCACATTGTTAGAACCAACATATGCTTGGCACTTGATATGGGAAGGCCTCATTTTAGAGAGTGTTTAGGGAGGTAGAGGCGAATGGGACACCGTGTCCTACTCAAATGTACTAATACTTTAATATCTTTGGTGACTGTGCTACTGTATGCCTAGTCCATGTGACTGAAAGCTGCAGTCAGAATAGTTTGGTAGTGAGTCTGAAAGTAGGTGGGTGGTCTGGACTGGGAGTGTATCCAGTTGCTGAATTTCAAAGCAGCGCCATGGATCAAGTTTGGGTAGGCAAGTATTAAAAATGATTTTTTCAACTATGGAAGGTTTAGCCAGTGTTAAAACTTCCCTGACATTTCTTTTGCCTGTCTGGTCCAGAATCAATTACGTCCATATGTTGCAATTAGCTAATATGAGACTTAGGCTTCTTATAAGTAGTTGTGGTATGTTTTGTTTGGGAAAAATATTAGCCATTCATTATCTCTTTAAATATTTGTCAGATTCTCTTCTTTGGACTCATATCTTAGCTTGTCAACAGCTCTGTGGACATTTTTGTATCAGATAATTCATATTTGTGGGAGTCTGTCATACTCATTGAAGGATGGTTAACATTATCTTTGGTCTCTACCCACTAGATGCCAGTAGCAACCTCTAGAAGTTGTTATTGGGGGAAACAAACAAAACAAAAAAACTTTAGGTACTGCCACATATCCTCTAGTGTAGGAGGGCAAAATTGTCTGAAGTTAACCACTGAATTATATGTATATAAATCTTATAAAAATCTGTATTCCATATATCTTGTGCTTTTCTCTTGTTTGAATTTGTATACTTGTGTTTGCCCTGTATTCCCATTTTTTTATTCCTTTCATTTTTTTTTGTCGACTTTGTTAAACTCCTTAATTTCAATTGTTAATTCTAGAATTTTCACTTTAAAAAATAGGTACTGGCTGAAATACTATATCTTGTTTATTTTCTTGACCATAACATTTTAATTTGTTAACTTGAAAATTTGGATCACTTGTGGGTCTATTTCTATTTGCCATTTTAACTCTTGGGTCCTGTTTTTTTTCCTGTGCCTGGTCATTGAAAGCTAGACATTGTTTATGAAAAATGATAAAAATTCTAGTCTCACTACAGAGAAGATAGTGGCAGATCACTTTAATTCAGTTAGGGATTGAGCTAGGTAGAAGCTGAGTGTATAGCTCTTTAACATCCTAAGTAAAAGCCTGAAATCTTTACCAGGATCCTTCTACTTTGTGGGCTTTGAATACCATTTCTTTTCCTTACTAACATTGTGGGACTAAAATTTCTGCTTCATTTTTCAGTCTTTTAGAAACCACATTGTTTAGTTTATATCTGACATATGTTCTCTAGAACCAGAGCTGAAGTTGGTGATTCCTGTGATAGTAATTTTTTGAGTGCATACTCTCAAGATTTTTGAGGAAAGCGCTATACACCAAGAGAAGAAATGCTAAGCAAGAAAAATAGTCTTGGCTAAAGATTAGCTACATCTTGGTCTTAAGCTCTGTAGCACAAATCACACTGTAGATCTGGTCCCTACTTAAAGCAAGGGGACAAGCCTTTTGTACCTACCATGTCCCTGACCATCCTTGGGGGCAAGGCTTAACCTCTTGAATGAGACTGCTCCTGTTTGCATTTAGCTAAGGAAAATTTGGAGAAAGGGGCAGCTATAAGTGATTATCAGCTAACACTAGCAATGCGTGGGGCGATGTGTACCAGCTCAGTGAAGTAGATTTGGCTCAAGGCACCAAGGGCTTCCACTGAAGTATAATCCTTGCACTATTTAGGTTCCCTTCTCACATTCAGATGACTTTATTCAAATACAACTTTGCCAGCATTGTGGTTTGTCACAGTTTCTGGGTAATCTTGTTTTAAAAAGCAAGGAGAATAGTTGGATTAAATCAGTCCTGAGTTTGAAACTGAGTTGTAACTTCTCTCTCTTCTTCATTACCCGTTCTAGGTTCTCTTCCCAATTGGCTATCTCTTCTGACCTTCATGACTGGCTTAATAGGGTAAGCCACCCAGACCCTCATTACTGAGGGGTCTTAGACCCTTTACCATACCCTTATCAGACTATGGTTTCTGAATTTGCCCATTTAACGTTACAATTGGGGGGCGCCTGGATGGCTCAGTTAAGCTGCTGCCTTCGACTCAGGTCATGATCAAAGGGTCCTGGGATTGAGCCCCGCATTGGGCTCCCTGCTCAGCGGAGAGCCTGCTTCTCCCTCTCCCTCTACCTGCTGCTCTGCCTGCTTATGTTCTCTCTCTCTGTCAAATAAAATCTTAAAAAAAAAAAAAAAAAGTTACAGTTCGGTGTGGAGTTACCAAAATGCTCCAGTGGATTCACTGAGTATCAAATTTCTTCCTTCTACCATTATGTAGTATCAGTTGTACCTTTTCATAATGATTGGGGTTAATTACTTCTGTCAGCAAGGTGACTCCATTTTGTGCCTACTAGATCTTTGGCTTAAGGAACCCAGAATGACTAGGCAGAAATCATCATCCTGGATTAGGGTAGGCCCTAAATCCAATAACAAGTGTCCTTGTAGGAAAAGTGAAGGAAAGACTACCAAGAGGAGGCAATGCAAAAACAGTTTGAAGTGATGTGTCTGCAAGCCGAGGAATGCCAAGGATTGCCACCAGCCCCTTAAAGCTAGGAGACCAGCCTGGAACAGATTCGCTCTCAGAACATCCAGAAAGAATCCAAATTGCCATCATCTTGATTTCAGTCTTCTGGCCTCTAGAACTGTGAAAGAATAAATTTTTGTTGTTTGAAGTCCCTAGTTTGTGAGAGCCCTAGGAAACTAATATGAATGGTCATGCCGGTTAAGGCTTTGTGGGTAGAGAAGGTGAACTCTCTAGAATATGAGCCAGCCAAGATAAAACATGACTCTCTTCAAGTTATAAAGTGTCCAATAAGTCAACTTACCACTGAGACACTGGTCTACTTGAGATTTGGTATCTTATTGGAGGCTCTCAGCATTGGCTTCTATTGCTCAGATATTGGACATTCAGCAGTGACTTTATCAGCCTTAGTGACTTTATGAATACTATGGGACTTGCATAGCCCCTATGTCTGTTACTTGGGCTAATCCAGTCTTGATCACATTGGGCAAGCCCTTACTGGAGGAAAGAAGCTGGTTGACACCTGATGAAGACCTGTCCACTTCGTTGCTTGGACCTATTCCGCAGTTGGTAATTTCTGTTGGGCATTTATGTGCAATCCCAAAATTCTCACATTTTGTGCCCACTCCCCTATATCCAACATTGGCCTCTTGGATATTCTTGTACTGTTTTCTAATACTGCAACTTCAAGACCTCTGACCAGATAAGTCATTTACCATTTCATGTAAATACATGTATGTCCTAATTTTGGACAACTTTCTCCACAAAGTGATTAGCAAGCTTTTCCACTTGTATCATTGCCACTGGGAGTATATCTCCTCACCATCGTCTTTCAAAGACCTACCTGAGCGGGACTGTAGTGAGATAGTAGTCTGTTTTGTCTTGTACCCACAGACCAAGCTGATTTACCTGTGAACCAAGCTTAAGATGTCTTCCTCTTCCTCCAGTTGCTGATAGAGAATGTCTCATGAGACAATAGGTATGAACTTCCTGGCTTGCCCAAACCTGATTTCTGAAACAGTTTCCACTTTATGATGAGTTGTTGCTGGGGCCGTGCAAACTTAAGACTTGATATGTGTCTAACAGTGTGGAGTGTCTGGTGGGCAGTTGTGGTCTCAGGGCCACTTGGTAGTCCACATGTTCGGTTTCTACCAGTGTCAAGTAGCATGCAAAAGCTACTTTTTGAATGGTATGTAGTTCTCTGCTAAAGTTGGTATGGTGTTTCTCCAGAAACCTTGAAGTTTGCTTTCAGTTTCCTATGAGAACTTCAGAACTCCTATCTTTCTCTAGTACCTAAACAACATCTCTTGCTCTGGGCCTCACTTAAAACTTTATAGTCTTCTGTGCCACCTGATGAATGGGATTGAGCAGTATTCCCAATATGTGTTTTCCAAAACTTGGAGGCCTACAAGTACTGCTAATGGTAGGAGTTGCTCAGTGCCGAAACTTTACTCTGAAGGGGCTATTCAAGAATGCTCTGGATCACCAGACCCCTAAAGTCTTGATCAGTGTGGCAGGTCCCTGAACCTTTGAGATGTATCTTTTACTTTCTGGAATGCATGTATCTTACCAAGGCATCTGTAATTGCTGATTATTACCAGGTGTGATAAATACCCCATATGTATATTGGGCAGTGTGATGTTCTGCAGAATGTCCAGATGGTTCAGATCCCACTGAGCTATATTTTGACAGCAGGAGAATTAAGTTGGCTCTTCAAGACCACAAATGTATATGGCTTGTCCCAAGTGAAAACAAACTACTTCTAATTTTCCTTTTTGTTGGACACTAAAAGACTGCATTGGTAGAGATTGCTGGCATAGAATTATCCTATAACCAGGGATGTGTTAATCTGCTCTACTAAAGATAGCCTACCTGCTATAACAGCTGTACTTGGGACTGCTACGATTAGGTTTGCAGAGGTCCACTCTATTTCTGTGATTCACTGGGCTTCTTGCAGGAGCTGCACTGATGAATTGAATAGGGCAAGATGGCACCACCATCACTGAAGTCTTTGAAGGTGGCACTGATCACATCTCCCTCCAGAATACGATATTGTTGATTCCTATCTTGACTGAAGGGAGAAGTTTCAGGTTCCTCTATTTGATTTTTTCTACTGTACTAGTTGTTGCTTTACAGGTCCAGGAGCCTGAATAACAGTTTCTGAACTGTTATTCATGTCCCTTCTAATTAAACATTTTGGAACTGAGAAATTATTACCAGATGTGTTCATAGGCATATTGGACACACTGAGATGGATCTGGGTCAGTTTTCTTTTACTACCTGAGCCCCATATACTCTGACTCTAACAGGGGATCATGACTCTTGGGGTCCCTGCTTCTCAGCATCACCTCATATCCTATGTAGACAGCTGCCGAGGAAATACCTGGTTATCCTTTCTCCAGTGTATGGTTATGTGAGTAAGGAGCCATAGTCCCCTTTCAGAAGGACTGTGGAAAGCACAAATACTATGCTTATTTTCATTCTCCAGTAGTTCCAGTTTTTGACATTGGGAACATGTTAAGTTGATTCCTGTGTCCTTTTGACATACCTCCTCATTGTGTTCTGTTGCTGTTTGTTTTGTTTTACATTTTCCTACTTTATGGAACTACTATGTGCTCCAGGCTCATCTTGTATATTTCCTTCCCCAATCGCAGAATCAGCCATTTCTCCAAGGAGGCCTGTGTGCATGTGTGTGATTAAGAATGGTATTTAGGAACTGAGATTTGATTACTAGTTGTACTTTTTTAAAATCAAATTTATTATTTTGAGAGAGAGCGAGAGAGAGCACAAGTGGGGGAAGGGGAGGAGCAGAGGAAGAGGGAGAATCAGACTCCCCGCTGAGCAGAGAGCCCTATGCCTGGCTCAATCCCAGGACCCTGAGATCATGACCTGAGCCAAAGGCAGATGCCTAACCAGATGAGCCACCCAGGTGCCCCATTAGTTGTACTTTTTAACTGAAGTATCATTGTAGGTCCTTTCAGCTAATGAAGTAAGGAAATATGTTTTTACTAGCTCACATATATGTACATATCTAAAAGTAATTCCCTATGTAATCATCTGTATATTAAACATGAGTTCATGCTGATGTCTCTCACTACAATCCATTGTCATATGTGTCGTATGTGCCTCTTCCACATGCTTATTTGTGAACTGTACTGAACTGGCTCCCATCATCAGTGTTGCTTAATTGTTCAAATCCAGTATATATCTATACTATTACTGGAATTAACTCCTACCCCCACGGGAAACACTTTTATCAATTAAAGTACAGTGCTTATGTACAATCTCTTTTGCCATTAGTTTTACAGACGAATTGCCAAAATTGCCTAGAGCAGCATGCTGTTCTCAGACCCCACTCAGTGAGGTTTTATTGTACGTTTGTTACACACATTGTTGCATCACAGTCTATATTCCATACTGGGATTCCTCTAACATCTTCACTGACTTTGAAAAATATGCATCCATGAAGGTGTACTCTTTGTGCTTTGAAGTTTGATAGGTTTTGACAAATGCATAGTGTCATGTATCTACTATTGGTGTATCCTACAGACTAATTTCATCATTCTAAAAATTCTGTGGTTCACCTACTCAACCCTCCTGCTCCTCTCCCTGAACCTATGGCAACCACTGATCTTTTCACTGTTCTTATACTTTAGCCTTTTCTACAATGTCAAATAACTGAAGTTTGAGTATGTAGTCCTTGCAGATTCTTTGCAAATTATTTCACTTAACAGTTTGTAGTTAGGATTCATCCATGTCTTTTCATGGTGTGATAGCTCATTTCTTATCACTGAATATTCCATTGTATGGATCTACCACAGTTTGATCACTTAACCTATTCTAGGAGATTGGTTGCTTCTGGTTCTTGATAATGGATAAAGCTACTATTAAATATTCATGTGCAGGCTTTTATGTGGCCATGTTTACCCCCAAATCATTTGAGTAAATACTTAGACATGAGGTTGTTGGATCGTATGCTAAGCCTATGTTTGGTTTAGTAAGAAACTGCCAAATTGTCTTCCAAAGTGGCTGCACCATTTTGCATTCCCACCAAAAAATGAATGTGAGTTCCTGTTACTCTGCACCCTTGCTAGCAATTGGTATTGGCCGATTTTTGGATTTTGGCTAATCTGTGTGTAGTAGTATCTCATTGTTTTAATTCACAATTCCTTAATGACAAATGTCTATCTTTTCCATATTTTTGTCATCTCTATCTTCTTTAGTAAGGTAGCTGGTTTTTATTTTTTGCTGAGTTCTAAGAATTCTTCATGTTTTAGATACAAGTAATTTATCAAATGTGTGTCTTGCAAATGTTTGCTCCCACTCTGTTTTGTGTTTTCATTTTAAGTGTCTATGAGAGAATTTGTAAATACATTTTAAGTAATCT